CATTATCATAAATAATCCTTATTCAGACAAAAATGTTTTATCTTGTAAGAGACATAAAAACAATAAAAGGTATGTTCGGACTAAATCTTCTAGACATCCATCCGAGATACTTTCTTCCATGACTCGACTGCTTCTTTGATCATCTTCTTATAACTGTCACCGTGATACATAAACTCTGATATAGATAATCCATATGTTGCTGGGACAAACTGATGTGCCCCATACTGTCTAAGTGCCAACAACGGAGCATACCCAACTGCACCTCAAAGTCCAAATAGGGTCATAGTGTCAGAATTCCCACACTTGAAAAGAACATCACTGAGGAACAACCAGGGGGCTCTCCAGGTAATATCCCGGTCCTGAAGATGAGTGAAGACTTTCATCCATTTCTCTTTTGAAGCGCCTTCATGTCATGTCATGATGATGAACTCTCTCAAAGGTGAATACGTAGTGATAAATCTACAGTAGGCAACCCCATTAGTCTTTCAGAAGTGGATGTGAATCTAGAAGTGGATGTGAATCCAGACTTGAAGGAACTGAACACATCCAATGAATCTACCTCCACCAGCTCTTCGGTAATGGTTGAGAGACCAAAAGGTCTCGGCTGAGATGGTCGGTGCTGGGTTGACTCGTTTCGGAAGTTGCTCAAACAGTTCCACCACGGCTGCGTCAATGCATCCCAAAACCTTTGGAAAGATGATCAAGCCATCCAGACCTAGTGCAAAAAGGTCTATAGTCTTCCATTCATCACGGTGGTCCTTCATTAGTTCCCTTATGTGGATCCACTCAATTCCTTGCCCGTTACCTTTGTTTCGGAGTCGGTCAGTCACCCATTTTTCATCAACTCCTGCAATCTTAGCCAGTCCGTTCTTGAAAGGCTGACTCTTGATGTGTTTGATGTAGGCTCGCTCCAGTTTAATGCTTTCACAGTGCAATAGTGTAGTATACTCCTCGATGGTAGGTACCATGTCCTCCTGGTTAAAAGTGAAGCAACTGTATCCCAGGTTCAAAAATTGAACCAAGACTCTGATTAAGGGCTCATCGGTCTTAACATGAAGCAAAAATGCAATGTCATCATACCGCTGACTGAACTTCTATTTCCGATCATTCTTCCAACTATCTCAGATGTCTCGAAGTTCTTGCACATTATTCTGTTTTAGGTTGATAGAGGCGTAGCTAACCAGCACTGACACATAGCTTCCTTGAAGACTGTCTCTCTTTTCCTTCTGAGTCTTCTCGGACCATAGTCGTACCTCGGGGTTTTTAATCTCTTGTATTACAACACCTTTGTCCATGGATTCAGATTATTCGAGTTTTAACAAACACGTTTTAGTGGATCAATGACCTCTTTTATGATGCAAGTGATGAAAATAAAATAAAAGAAAGATGAAAAGAGTTAGTGAGGTGAAAAAAAATAAAAAACGATCATAAAAATGAAAGTCCTACCCCACATGATATCTACCCCACATGCTTATTATTCCTACCCGGACATGATCTCTATCCCGCATGCTACTTTCAAACAAATCCTAACCGCATATTTGTCTAGTTCGCATGCTTTGAACAGAAACTAAAGCAGGAAACAAAGCAGCCTAGGGTTTGTAATGAGATTTTGGGGTGGGCTCTAATTCTCCATGGTCTCCCGGTTTAGGTGCTAAAAAATGGTACCCGAGTTCTCCTTGCTGGTGCCCCCTTGGGCTTGCCAGACCCTTAGTCCTAAACCCATCACAGGCTTGTGTGGACTAAGTTAAACTCGAGAGGAAACATTCCCTTATGCCCATACGGAGAATAAATTCACACGAAGGCATAAGGTATATGAATCCCGAAGGTTACTTGCTAGGCCCATACGGAGAATAAATTCACACGAAGGTGTCGCTTTCACCCCCACTTAAATAGGGTTCGGAGCTCGGGTATAGAGCCTTTAGATGAAAAATCTTTAAGGGCTGAAATCATTAAAAAACGGTCAGTACAACTATTTACTTCGAAAATATAATCAAAAGTAAGCAATAATGATCGAAATGTTACCTTAAAATTTAAACTTACCCTTTTCATTAAAAATACAACTGGAAATTACCTTAGCCTGACTCACTTACGGTCCCCAGCGGAGTCGCCAAGTTGTCGTAACCGTCTTTCGGTTGGGCCCCGGAATTGGGCTTCGACTTGAAAAATGTGGATTGGAGTCGCCACCGATCATTTATTTAAAAATAAATGGGTTGATCGGATACCCTATTTCTTACCTGATCTGCATCTTACCAGAAATATGTCGGGCTCGGGAGTCGGTTACGGTCAAGGAAGGATTAGCACCCTTGAATCGCCCTTTCGGTACTACGTAATTTCCAGTTGTCTTAATTAAGAAAAATAACAAGTTAAATTAAAAGGTAAAGTTTCGATCCTAATTACTTACCCTTGATTGATTTGAAAAAAAATCGAGAAATGTGTTAGATAAACAAGGTAAAGAAAACAAATAAGATACAATGGAAAAATAAAATAAATAAGTAAGATAAGAAAAAAATAGTAAAGTAATAATTATATATAATAATATTTGAAAAAAGGAAAAAATATAAATATATAAATATAAATATATATATATATATATATCAAAGTATTAATAAAATAAATAAGCTATATATATATACCAAATACTTAAAAATAGAAAAGCTACCCTCCCAATTCACCGAAAGTGGGGGGCTTTAGTAAGAAATAAGACAAAAAAATGGGCCCTCTAGGTTAGTAGTATATAATATAATGTTTAATAATAATAATGATAAAGACACAAAGTTTTTTAAAAAAAAATAATAATATAATAATAATGAATAAAAAAACGAAAATAATAAAAAATAATATAAATATATAAAGTTATAAGATATATTACATAAATAAATAAATAATCAAATAAAAATAATTAAGAATATATATATTTAATAATATGTATATAAATAAACTATTAAAAGTATAAAAAATATATATGACTAGATAAAGATATATAGTAATATTAGACTTGTAAGTAAAATATTAAATAAATATATATATAATAATAATAAAATATAGTAAAAAAATCAAATGAAAATAATTTAATATATATATATATATACATATAATAATAATAACATGAATAATAAAAATAAGTGAATAAAATATCCATATAATAAATAAAGGGACTAATATAGATTTTTAAAAAGCTCCTCCTCTCCTTTTACAAAAAATCAAACCGGTTTTTAAAAATAAGCCTCGGGGTAGATCTAGATTCGAAACTTCGAAACCCCACCCATTTTGGTCATCGGCGCAACCCACGTTTTGGGTTATTCGAACCAAATCTCAAGAAAAATAACGTGCACATGCAAAAGAAAGAAAAAAGAAAATGCTACCTTTTATTTCCTTTTCGAATCGTTTACAACAGCTTTGTCTTTGTATTTTTCGTGCTTTCCTCTGTGTTTTGTGTGTGAATCGTCTATTACAATGGTGAGTTACAATGGCTATTTATAGTGCTTGTGGATCCTATCTTTAGGAATTTAAATCTTAGTAGAACTCTATCCTATTTTTAGGAGTTTGAATCCTAGCAAAATGTTATCCTATTTTTAGGAGTTTGAATCCTAAAATTCTATCCTATTTTTAAGAGTTTGAATCCTAATAGGACGAAAAATGTGTGTTGACACATTTGTTATCGTTTATCATTTAAATGAATGAACATGAACAAACATGAACAAGCTACATTCCTTGACGAACGAATATGCAAAAAAAAAATTTGTATTCGTTTATATTCGTGTTTGTTCATCCATTCAATTAAAATTAAACGAACAAACATAAACATACTTTCATTTATGTTCATTTGATTTGTTTACAGGTGTAGACTAACCTACTAACTAATGAGCTACGCGAGACCGTATATTTAATTTTTTTTATATTGACCGATGTTTGAATTAAATTTAGAACGAGGGTATAACTCTATGGGGTTGTTAGTCCTACTCCTTGTACTACGGATCATTATTCTAATTCAAATTTGATAGAGACTTAAATAGTGTTTAAATCAAAATATCTAAATCAACTAACAATAATTCGAACGTCTCAAACTAAAATATTAATGTTTCAAAAGTATAAAATTAAAATATATTTTCATAATAAAATATTTAAATAACTTTTTAATATAGAGTGATTATAAGATAATATTAATTAAAAATATTTTTAGTCAACTGACAATAAATGTATACACATTTTATAGGCGTAGTTCCTCAAAATATCTCCAAAGAAAATAATAATTCATTTTATTGTTAAATTTGATAAATTCTTTAAAAGAATAACATTAAAACAAATTTTAAAATATTTTTATATAATAAAAAATTAAAATAAACTTTTAACATAATATAAATACTTTAATAGAGTTTAACCCATCCATTCCTTTATGAAATATATTTTTAAAAAATTGTTGAGTATTTATTTTTTCGGAAATTCAATACTATTATCCCTGTAAAAACCATAAAAATCTTCCCCTCCTCTGTTTCGTATGAATCTTCCCAAAAGAAAAAGACGAGCATTGAGAAATCACTCAATTTTTTATTCATTTCATAGATCTCTTCGAAACAGGGGAAGGAATCACAAACATCGGCAAAAAAAAAAAAAAATAGGTCGAACTCTAGATTTCTGTAAACTTAAATTTTAGAAAGTTCTATAGTGTATCATCTTTAATATACAGCTAAAAAAAGTGTTATGAGTTTTGTTATTATTTAAATAATAAAATTGATAAAAAATTATCTAAAATATAATTATTTCTACTTAAAATATTAATATTTTTTAATATTTTCGGTAAAAATATCCAACAATAACAAAATCAATAGAAAAAAATAACAAAATCGATGAAAAAATAATATTTTTGATAAATTTTTATCGATTTTATTATTTAAATAATAAAAAAATTGATAACGTATTCTTTAACATAAAATAAAACTGTCACACGTGATCGTTTTCCTAAATTTTTTATTTTTCCAACCAAAAATGAAAAAAAAAAAAACACAAGATTTTGAATTGGAGCAGCAGAAGTTGAATACGTCGAAGTATTTGGAAGATACCCATTTGCTTGATTTCTCACATAAAACAAGAGATGCAAAAATCCAGCTAATGTTGTAAGTCTAACAAGCAAAGCTGAAGGAGCGAAGGCAAGAATTGGGTCATGCCCAGAAGCTAGAATGCAGCAAAATCCTTGATATTAAGCCCCCCAAAGATTCTGCGTGCTTGCTTAGCTTTTTTGTTATTATGGAACCGCCATTATTACCATCACTGCTGTTAAGTTTCGGCCTTTTCTTTACCGTTTTTCCATATTTTGTTGAATCGCAATCATCTAACATAAGTCCGCCACCGCCATCGTCAGTTCCTCCTCCTCCGTCCTCTCCACCATCACCTCCGCCAGTGCCTTATCGGCCATCGCCGCCTCCGGCAGAACACCACCATCATCGAACCAATCATCATAGGTGGCGGCGGCCACCACAACCTTCACATGATCACAAGGTCAATACGGGGCAAAGGCTTGGGCTTTTGTTCATCGGCATTGCTATCATCTTGCAATTTGGTGTTGCCGGGTTCTTGGTTTTGAAGAGATGACAGCTATTGAAAGCCAATGGAAAGTACGAGACTTGCTCTTCTTCTTCATGAAATATCCGCCAAGTTTTTGGGTTACATTGGCAATTTAATTCATATTTAGGGAGTTGTTGCTGAGATCATCGGATGAGCTGAGAAAGGGATTACGAATATTGCAGATATGGGTCCTTGCTGAGGTCTTCTGTAAATGGGTAGTTCTTTTATTTACCATTTTTGCTTGTTTAAGTTTTGTTGCTGTTTTGTCTGTTGATTCTTTCCCCGGTTTGTGTCTAGTTTCTGTCAACTCGGATTGTTATTCTAGATAGAAGAAAAAATTTCAACTTTTTCCTCGAGTGTTGTTTTGATCTTTCCGCTAACTTATTTGGACGCTGTAACAAGGCATCTGCTATATTTGTGTTAGACTTTGGATAACTACACTGTGTAATTGTTACGGAATTTGTGTTAGGTGAAGAGATTGATATATTTTGGCATTGCAAATTTCTGAAGGTTGTAAAGTTGCAGACTATTCATGAAGTTGAATTGCTTTCACTGATTCTTCATAAAATTACATGGAGAAATCTGCAACATACCTAGAATAGAGCTATTACATTTTGGCTGTCACTTGTCCCAATCAATCAGGCAAAACTGCTATATCCATTCTTGTTGGTGGTCTTCTAGGTCTACTTTCAAGCTTGATTAGTTTTGATGTTACTGAAAGCTGAAACTACACTTCTCTTTTCCTTTAAGATGTGATCATGTAAGAAATTATTATTTAAAAAAAATTAAAGAGTTCTAAACAATACTGATACAAATCTTGGCATTTTCTGTTATATTTGCGGTTTTGGTGGCCAATGACAATGTAAATTTGGAGAAGAACCTGAAGTTTCCTAGGTACCATCAGTTTTCCAGGATGGGAGGGTTTGCTTTAAAAATAGTTTAAGCGTATCTTTTAATAGCAAGACAGGGCTAAATATTATCAGGAATGAGCTGGTGTGTTGTGAAAAGAGTAGATTATCTTTAGTTGATTGATGACAACGGCGATATTCTCGATATATCACCGTCCACTATTTTTTTTTATCAGGCACCGTTCAGATTATATTTTTTGATCTAACATCTTTTGCAGAAAGATGTGTCAACTGCAACGCGTTTTACATTAATTTGGTGTCACGTGGAGCCCATTGCAATGCTTTTTACGTTGATTTGGTGTCACGTGTGGTAAGTCCCCCCTGAAACGCGCATTATGCTAACATGGTATACACGTGTGTAAAGCGCGGTCTCTGGGACGCGCCTTAGGCCATGTAGGAGTATAGCGCAGGGGCAGGGGTCACGCCTTACCTTTAACACAATTATATTAGGCACGAACCAGGGGCAACATCTTAGCTTTATCTAATACAATTATGTAAGGCGTGGTGCAGGTACGGCGTCTTGTAGTTTTTCCCGGCTATAAATACTCTTTCCCCCCGGTAACTCCTCACATATCCTCTCGATTAGAAAAAAATTCATACAACAATCCGACAATCTTCTCATATTTGATTCAGAAGTTCATACGATTTTTCGTTATAAGGTAATTTTGTGATAATTTTTTTATTATACTTATTGTTTATTATGATTATTTGAAAAAATATTATACTAATTGTTGTCAATTAATTTATGTGTTTGTAAAATTAGAAAGCGAAAGCATACGTCAAAATAGTTTTACGGTACAAATAATAATATTAAATTATATTATTTAAATTATTTACGTTTATGTGTAAAAAAAATTTTGTGTTATATTTTCGTTTATATATTATTTATTTAATCAGCTTTGTTTCAGTTTTTTTTGCATATATAATATTACCACACTTTTAAACTCAAAGAATGGTGTGACTTTTAGCTATTGTTTATTACGATGGTGAAATTCGAGAAGATGAAACAGACGTTGTTTTCGTATCAAATGAGCGTGTTAAAATATCATTGAAGAGAAACATAACTCTTGAGGAGCTGATAACGAAGATTTCGAGGAAGATTCATGTTGGAAGTAGTAAAAGAATGTCGTCGTTGCAGTACAGATTTCCAACATCATTGTTGCCATTAACTTATACAACATTCGAACTTTTGAACAATGGTGCTGTTGAAATGATGGTTTAAGCTCAAAGTAATTATTCAGACACCGATATTGAGATGTATGCAAATTTTATTCAAGTGTGTGTTGTTCGAGGTCAATCATTAAGCTCCCACTATGGGCTGGCTGAACAAGTTGACAGCCGGCGACAGTAATGTGTAATGATTTTAATGCCATAATAGAGAGACATTCATCCGCAACTCCTTACGATATGTACCGAGGTGGGTCGACGAACAATTCGTATGGCAACATCGCGTCCAGTTCAAGGGGAAGACATTCATCTACAAATCCCTTTGACCTTAATATGGAGATGCCATCGACGCAACAATCTGTGCAGTTTCTATTTGACACGATGGCTTCAAGCTCCAGGGGGAGGCATTCGACTGCGAGCTTTTTCGATCTGAATGTCAATATGCCTTCCAGTTCAAGGGAAAGGCATGCAAGTAGTAGGTTCTTCGACCTAAATGTGGAGAGCATGGAGGAACCATCATCTCCACCAGAAGAACCGCTTCGTGAGCCTGGTGCGGATGGTGCTGAAACTGGACTATTCATTCACCCAGAATCACCGCAATTCAACTCTGATAATGATGATGTGGATGAAGTTCAAGCAAATGTGGCACAAACTAACCCTCCAGCACACATGTATGAAGATGATTATGGTGTAATGTATACGCCAGAATTTGCGGATATGCCTCATCTCGGTGACTATATATATTACTCATCAATAAATAATTATGAGTTATATTTAGGCATGGAATTTTCAAGCAAAGAAGAAGCGATAATGGCTATAAAAATTACAATATACGCAATTATGTTCAATCGAGAGTCAACCGCTCCACGACAGAAAAATATGTATGCTACTGTGTCCGATGCAAAAACGGATGCAATTGGATGGTTTGCGTATCGAAGAGGAAGAGGAAAAACAACAGATGAGAACTAACAATATACAACGATCCTCACACATGTTGTGCTGGAGGGGTCAACCAAGATCATCCCAAGTTGGACTCGAAAGTGATATGTCAAGCCATCATACCCATGGTAAAAGCAAGCTCTCATATAGCTGTTGCTGTGTTGATTTCAGCTATAATCGCAGTATGGGTACACTGTCTCCTATAAAAAAAACTTGGTTGGCAAAACAAAATACCATTGTCAAACTTCATGGCGAATGGGATGCATCTTAAAACGAACTTCTAGGCTGGTTTAAGCTGGTGCGGAGGTTGAATCTTGGGACAATTATGGACTTCGAAACCTCCTATGCATACCATAATGATCAGTGGAGTGCCACTCGACGGTCGCATAACAGATCAAATGGACCATCGCCATCCAAACATCTGATGGGCCCCTCAACTTAGGTGGGATTACCGTCCTCATATCGTCATTAGAATATGTCACCCATTCAAACTAAAACAAATATATATATATTTTTATCAAAATAATAATTTAATTATATAACTATAATCTGAAATCGATTTTTAAACATTAAAATTCATACATGTGTGCCAGCTTTCTAATCGATTAGTTCCCTAATTTTCTCTAAATCATCAGGTAGCTCTTGATGATTTTTCTTATCAATAGACCACTTATTCAAGGAAAAAAATTTGTTATACGCTATATAAAATGATTAATATACAGAATCAGTTTTATAATTACCTCAAGAGTAGCGAAAATACGAATGAGTTCTTCACAACGGGACATAAAAAGGGCAATCGATACCATGCCCAAGACTGCAGCAGGAGGAGACATCTGCCGATAGCATTTCTCCTGTAGTCAGTGGCTCGACACATCTCCCTGTACAATAAAGCCAAAACTGTCGAGCCCCAATTGAGTGATCCGACCAGACGAAAGTCGACAAGATGTTGCAACCACATGCAGTGAACTTGGTTGCGCGATTTGTCCAGCATCAACAACCCTTCTATCAACTGCAGTATGCATGCACGTGCATACATTTTAACTTCATCATCAGAGGCGTCCTCACTCTACTCCTGAAAATTGGCATCTAACCAATTTAACGGTATCCGACCACCGTTAAAACTTTTCGGGACACGTCCTAGATTATCCCGACACAAAGCAGTCCAGGAACCCTACGCGATCCCCGATATCACATCTCCATCCACCGAAAGCCCCAGCTGCATAGCAACATCCTCAAGTGTAATCGTACACTCTCCGCACGGAAGATGAAATGTGTGGGTCTCCGGCCTCCAACGCTCTACTAAGGCAGAAATAAGGTCTTATTCTATCTTACAGTGACCCTGGTATCTATCTATATAACCGAATCCAGCCTCTACTAAATACGACAAGACACGGCTAGGTATCACTAACTTAAGATTCCTAATAAAATGATCTAATACACGGTCATTCTCCTAAAATTAAATAATTACAAAAATTAATTCTTAATCTAATAATCATGTATTAAATAAATCAACAAACTATTACTAATAATTTTAATTAAATTAAAACGTTAAAATGTTACCGTATCAACAAAGTGTCGAGATATATGATTTCCATCCAATCGAAGTAGATCGTCTTCCATTTTATATCTGCAAAAAAATTAATTAAGTAAAATATTAAATAAATTAAATACTTAAATAAATTAAATACAAAATATTAAAAATGTAATAAAATTTACCTTAGACAGAGATTATAAGAGTTTTTAAGAGAAGTTGAGAGAAATTGAGAGAATTTAGTGTGATGAAAGTGATTGAGGATGAGGTTATTTATAGGGAGGGATTGTGGTGTGAAACGTCGGGGTAGGTGGGTAATTATAGCTAAGGCGAGTCGCAGGGGGCGCACCTTTCTGACGCGTGGCAGATTCTGAGTAAGGCGCAGCCCCTACATCGCGTTATACCTCCTTTACACATGTGTATATCATGTCAGCATAAGGCGCGCTTCAGGGGGCGTGTCTTACCTTAGGTGGTACCAAATC